ACGGATTTTCCCGGTATTTTCCTATCATGACAAGGAGCACACGGCGAGTGAATGTGACCGGTCAGCAGGGGATGCCACTCTTCCATGGCACCTGATCCTACCTCTGATGTTTTGGAGGTCCGTGTTTGCTCTGCTCCTATTTTGTATTGTTTTATGGACTTTTATATTGAGTACTGTTCATTATCCCCATATCCTTCATCTAATCCAGGTCTTATACTCCAGGGTATGTTCCGCGTAGGCCATTCCCATTTACATGTAGGTAATTTATCTCCTAGGCCGTTACCCTTTATTACCTAGGACATTTCACTCCAACGCCAAAATAATCATTTTTTAAAAATTAAAGTTAATTTGCATTTGTATTAGCAGAAGTATTCTTATAATAGCCCAAGTAATTCAAGTACCATTATTATTTAAAAACGTCTTTTAAAAGTCTGTGAACATTTGTGGTTTTTTTGTCAATTTATTTATTTATCACTCTCCCTGTTTCTAAAGTGGGAAGGATTATAGTGATCGGGATGTCCGTCCGTCTGTTCAGATTCGAGGTATCCATATCTTATCCGAACGTCCTCTTGTACTACTAAAATTCTTTAATGTTTAACGATGATGGAGTCTGATTGAGTTACATTTTTTGTGAAGTGTATTTTTTATAGAATTAAAATCATATTAGAGTGGGACTGCATTGTAGTAATCGTTCATCGTGTCTTGCCAACAACTTTGAAAAGAAAAAAAAGTAGATTTTTTTATGAGGTTCACGGTATTATCCAGGAAGGTGACATAACTCGCAAGCTAGATGTCTATAATCATAGCATTATATGAGTTTATACAAGTTTTGCTGTGTAGTAAACTTTAAAGTGTAAGTTACGCAATAAATAAACAAACTTCAGAATCAAACAGAAAGGGCCAGTTTTATTTAACGGCACAACAAAATTGTTATCATACAGTTTATCTAGTAGTTTTCACAGATTGCTAGACCGTGAAGTTTTTCCCGAATGCCCGACCGCGAGCATGCGTATTCCAGAAATATGCAATAGTTAATGTAGTTGCTAGTGCTCGAGAGCGCTCAAATTTAATGAGACTTTCACATAACCTTTGCTACATAGTGCCATTGTGCACCATGTATTCCTTTTTTTTGATCGATGAACATTTTGGTTTTCCCATAGCAAACATGTACATTAAATTCTTTCTACAATATTGAAGGGTACCCATCTCTTATCCACAACTCCTCCTATATCACTGATACTTTGTATACTATGATACTTTCACAGATTCTTTATATAACACAATGCCATTGTGCACCTGCTATATCCTACTTCTTTGTGTACATATATTTCGGGTCTCCCAGAAATTTTCCATATAAAATAATTGGTAATATAATATAGCATGTATTGATTAAATTGATCAATCTTAAGGTAGGATTCTTCTCTGGTTTCTGATTAGATGGAATATTCAAAGTACATTTGTTGATATGTCTTATATATTTAGATGTAAGAGATTTAAAAGAACATATTTTTCTTTCCTCATCACAATTATACAACTTTAAATAGATATGGTAAACTGCGTTTGAAAACTAGCAGGGACTATATTTTTGGCGGAATGGTGGCGTATGAATATATCTTCCTTTCTGCCTCTCAAAATTATTATAGAACATTGAATTTAGCTATAAGTTTTACGCAATCAAAGACTAGACGAAATTTTTAAATGTACGTTAAATTAATAATAAGGGACTAAAGTTTCAAAATATATCAAATAAATAAGATTTTTCACACATACTAGAACTATGTTGGCTTTTAAATGCTTCAAATCTAAGTACAGATTTGAGCCAAAAATCCTTAAAAAGTGTTATTTCTCTCTTAGTAAACGATCAAAACTTTTAGTTTTTGTATCATTTTGTACCTTTATGTGACAACTTTACTATACGTGAAAATTGGAAAAAGTTAAGTATAAGAAGCACATAAAAATAACTAATAAATCCTAAAAAAATTAAGAAAAGTGGAGGAAATTCGGATAAGCAAATATCCGTTTTAATTAAATTATCCATGTCAATTTGGTAATATCATCGTAAAGGCCCTATATGGTAGTATCTTTTTATGCAAAAAGAAAAACATTCAATCTTCTGAATTACAAGTAGAGATCGCATGATTGGAAACAGTAATTTTTTATTCTTAATGTCCAGGAAAAAGGTAATAACCTTGACCTGACCTTGCCTCTGATTTTAAACGCTCAAATTTAATCTCACTGATACCATCACTTAGTGATATTGTCCTCTTGATTCTGTGAAAATTTCATCAATTTTAGAATTCAAGAAATATGAGAAGAATCCTACCTTAAGTGAGCAGTGAAGGGTATAGCAAAACAGTTATAGACTGGAATTCGGGCAACATATGATTTGTTGGACCTGAAGGTGAAAATGTTGCCCTTGGCCTGCGGCCTTGGGCAACATTTTCACCTTCAGGTTCAACAAATCATATGTTGCCCTCATTCCCAGTCAATAACTGTATAGAAATTTTAGTACTTTGTCAAGTTACAAAAATGCAGATATTCCGGGACTTCCTAATTATTAGAGAGAGAAAAAACAGCTTTATTGTCCCCCGCTTTCGCGAAAGCGAGGGGACATTAACTCATTCATCTGTCTGTCAGTCTGTCAGTCTAGCTGTCTGTCCGTCCGTCACAAAAACTTTAACCTTGCCGATAACTTTTGATTTGTTGGAGCTATGACTTTTATAGTTCCCATGTGTATTCCCTGTGACAAAACCTTTCTTTGGGTACCACCAACTTTGGCCTTTTTTACCTTGACCTCGGAGTTTGTCTCAGTTTACAAAAAAATTAAATTTTTACTTTGGCCATAACTTTTGAAAGGTAGATAATACGACTTTTATATTTCACATATGTATTCTTTGGGGAAAGAACTTTATCAACAGCTTAAACCTTTTGACCTCTGCCTTGGAGAATTCCGTACTTAAGAAAAACTTTAACCTTGGCCATAACTTTAAACCGGTAAGGGCTAAAGCTTTCATGCATCACATATTTAATCCTTGTGAGAAGTCCTTTCATTGAATAACAAAGACTTTGAACTTCTGACCTTAACCTTGGAGTCTGGCCCACTTTTTAAAACTTTTGAATGGTAAGGGCTATGTCTTTCATACTTCACATATTTATTTTCCTTATGAAAAGACCTTTCATTGGATATCAACAACTTTGACCTTGGAGTTTGACCTAATTTTTAAAAACTTTAACTTTGGCCATAACTTTTGAATGGTTAGAGCTAGGGCTTTCATACTTCTCATAAATACAGTAATCCTTGTGAGAAGACCTTTCATTGGATACCAAGAACTTTGACCCTTTTACCTTGACCTTGGAGTTTGACAATTTTTTTTTTAAATTTGGGTACCAATATATTTAATTTGCATTTAAGAAAAGTTTACTCTTCGCTTTGTTGCCATAGGGGGTCATCAGTGCTTCACAAACGCATCTTGTTCTTTTTAACTTTTGATTGAGAAGATATAGGGCTCTCATATTTGACATGTGCATTACATATGACAAGATATTTCCGAGCATGCTATGATATCTGACTCCTTAACCTTGGCCTTCACGATTGACCTTATTTTTTAAAAAAAATCAACTTTGATCATAATTTGTAAATGACATATGATAGGGCGTTCATATTTGACATCTCACCCACAAAGACACCGAAAGCGGGAGACCACAATTCCTTGAATTTGCTTGTCTACTCTTAATCGTGACATACAGATAAGACGTAGCAATGCCTTCAATATTGATATACGCAATGTTGGTAACACATTAAAAAAATATACAAAAAAAAATAATCAAAACAAATACTGTATAGCACGTTAAAATTGCGATCGAAAAAAGTTTTTTTTTCTTTTCCAATTAATTCAATCCCATTTTTTTCTCGGTCAGTAAAAAAATGAAACATATGATTGTTAAAACGTTATGCTTTGCTGTAGTCTCCTCTCTATGTGTCCCTATAAATTTCAATTATAACTTTGACAATCTCTTTAATTATAAAACATACTATCACTACGTAGCACTCTCATAGGTCAATCATAGACATTTCGACTTCACAGAAAAGCATAACGGCCTCTCGTGCTCGGAAAATAGGCTTTTCTGCAAAATCAATATGTCCATAGATTTTTCTCTTAAAATGAGTTCATTCTTAAATTAGTAGATATTTGTTAGGCTAGAAAGTAAACGGAAGGGGAAATCTTGATCACACATTATGTAATACCCACGGTTACCAACTGCATGGTGTTACTTTTTATGCATACCGGAAATGATAAAACAATTGTAAAGAGGAATGTTGTATGGGCTTAATACGTCATTGAGAAAAATAAACAAATCTTCATGTTCTTCAATTCCCAAACATTTCAATCTTTAAAGTTAAAGAAGTTAGTTTTTTTCAAATATTTTGCATACATCCCAACCTCAGATCCAAAATGTCCAATTTAACAAAGAAATAATTGTTTTGGAAGAATATAATCCACGTTCTATTTTTGGATCAAAGAATGGATTCATACTTCAATTCTTGCTGAATATAATCAAATGAACCCATTTTTTTTCAAAACTCAGAACATTTCAATTTTACAACTCCTGTCTTTCAATACGTAGACTTTCAGATGAAACATCTGTATAAGGAAATGAAAGCAATAAGACTCTAATTTAAATTGACTTTGTTTGAATGTGTGTTTGTTTGTTGTTTAACACCCCTCTTGAAAAGTTTTCACTCATATGAGGACGCAACCACTTGCTGGTGGAGAGCTGCAAATTATGTCCTTTACTTGGCATTGAGCAGTGAGGGATCTTTTTGTTTCAGCACGTATTGCTGTACGGGATCTCAGTTGATACGGTCTCAGAGAGAGAAACTTAAGTTACGTAGTTTTACATTGTACTAATATTATATTTTTAGCATACTATAAAACATAATGCAAAACAAAAACAAGGGTGCAGATGATTATTTCCCTTTATTTTCATAATAACAAATCATTACTGTTACAATTCCATGCCGGAAAACGAGCTGTAGCTTGAGTATATATATGTATTAGAAGAAACAGAACGGATAGATACTTTATCCCCTGTGCTCAAGCTCAGTATCACGAATGAGGAACAAGAATCCGTATAGGAAGAAGTGCCGGTGTAGCAATATTGATACTGCTTATAAGAGTTATTCACACGGATCGCGGTATTTGCTTGATTGGTAGAATAGGGCCGAGTTGACCAGGTGAATGCGTAAAGGCCAGCATGTGGAGCTTGGAAGTAATGCCCGCTTTTGAAACCTTGCCCTTCATTGGTAACAACTTGGTTGTAGTAGACGTGGTTTCCGCTACTAACTTTCTTTGAACTGGATGCAACTACTGTAAAAGCTACTCTGGTTCCTCCATAACCTAAAATGATGAAAAAATAAAAATGCAACATTTAATGTCTATTCATTTCTTTTTTTTCTCAAATGCTTTAATTTTTAAACCTACATTTACCTTTTTATTTCTATGACAGGAAATGTTTTGTATTCAACAGTTGGTTTGCTGTGCTTTAGGTGGTTATAATAATTGCTGGAAAGCATTATTGAAATTGTTCATATCTACATATTTAAGTAATAAACAATAGAACAATAACAATGGTATCAGATTTCATTCAGAATGACAAAACTAACGATGACAAATAAATCGTATTAGATTAGTTACAATAACACTTACCATATCCCCACTTTGATCTGGAGGCCAATTTTAGTCCATATTCCAGAGCGTTAGCTTGTTTGGCCAAATGTTGCATTAACGTATATCCCTGGACAGAAAGAAACTCCACTTGTATCGTCAGCAAGAGGAGCGAAAAGTAACAACACAACAGGGTTCGCATCTTTCCTTGAGGGGTAAAATTAAAAAGACTAGCAATAATTATTATTACAGTCTGATATTTAAATATGTAAATACGATTTTTATTATATATCTAATCTACTCACTTGGTTTAGTCAGACTTTTTTTATATAACGGTATATGCTCGACTTCAGCACAAATTGAAAAATTTATATGTAAAATATGTTTATTATGCTGTATCTCTTTACACTTTGAATATAATTAACGTAATCAAAACGAATGATAGATACGATTAGGTGTTATGGTGATTATTTTTGAATATTGAATTTCCTCATGCAAGATGTGTCATGTAATTAGCAATTTGCGTGCATTGAAAATTAAAGCTTTTGACACGCAGACAATGTCATTTGCGTTTTCTGTTTCAGTTTATCAAATTTTGAATAACAATTTTGGATCAAATTTTATCAGTTTGAAAAGATCAATTTATTTCTTCGGGTAAGTGTTGCTTCCCATTAAACTGCTTTTTTTCAGTTTTTGTCAAGCCTACGTTTCTTCTTATTATGCGAATCAGATTTGCTTTAATGATACATTTTCATTCCTTGACAACATTTTTGAAACATTAACCTTGACCTTGGAATTTAACATGTATTTGGAAAACGTTTTCCTCTGCAAAAGGCTGCCGTACGAAAACTTTATAAATGAAATATCTCATCTTTCTCATCAAGAGAAAATTTTCAAATCCAAATCGATCTCTTTAACGTACAGGGACTTGGTAATGTGTGTATTTCGAAACAAAAAGAATTTCAGAGTAGATATAAAAAAAAAAAAAAGAAATTTAGAGGAAAAAAATCAACAAGATACGTTAAAATTAAAAAACCTATCATGTAAATAAATCTAAATGCAAGCTTGATGATAAAGAAGAGAGTCGTTGTATTATTTCAAACCATGCTACTCTCAACTCACTTTAATTGATTGTTTTACTTTGTGAAATTTGGATCTTCTGTTCTAAAATCACTTTAAAGTTGAAAACGTCAATGACGTAATCACTTCATAATCAACATCAGAGGGCAAACCACAATGTAGAATCGGTGAAAAACAAACATCTTCGAACAGCGATATACTATTGGAGATAACAGATGGTAAGGAAAGCGCCAACTCAACCGGATTCAACATTCTTAGATTGATTGTTTTGCCAAACATTTTACAGTGGTTTGAAAAGGTTTGAAGGTTTAGAAATTGTGATTTGATGTCCGAACCTAATTTTAGCTACATTAAACCACTTCTATGGCCTACAGATGACTGAACAATAGATTAGAAGTATCGGTAACTTTTTGAACTTTTTTCACCATTTATTTATAAAATTTCATCCTCTTTTTAATCCTTTTAAGCTTACCTGAATGTAAAAATATCTTTAAAAAGTACAACAATACAAATCAACTATGCTTTGACATTAAGGATAAAAAATGAACAAATATAGCAATGATTATTAATTATAGTTCAATGTTTCATAACAATTAAAATTCAAAGAAATATTTTTGGACAAGCAACCAAATTTCATAAAATGTGTTTTTTATGACAAAAACTCTTCTTGAATATATATTTCTTTTCTAACTCCGCTGCATGCCATACATACTGTACATGTACAGGTTTACTTTTGCCCTTATCATTTTGGCACTTTCACACAAATCTCCTTCGTTTTCAATTTCACCTGTTCTCGTTTACTTTCATTTGCAGTGTATGTATTTTTTTGAGATCAGGCCCCAAGACCATAAACTAAAAACAAACTTAAGTAAAATTTCAAATCAGTGTAACTTTTGAAATAAATTTCGAAATTTAAAAAAAAAATTCAAATCATGATTGTATTACCGGTAAACTCTTTAACAAACTTACAAGACTCTAATTGGTCTAGAATCATAATGAATGAAACATATGGAGATAATAAACAGTATTCTAGATCAAAAGTCCATTAAACAATACAAAACACAAGCAGAGCAAACATGGACCTTAAAAACATCGGAAGTGGGGTCAGGTGCCATGGAGGAGAGAGTATCCCCTGCCGACCGGTCACACCTGCCGTTTGCTCCTTGTCATGATCGGGAAATAACGGAATAATCCGTCGTCAATTCAGTGTATAAATAATGGACTAAGAATTAGTATTAAAAAAAAAAACGTCAGTCAGCATTTGACTCAATGATAAATTGTATTTGCTGACAAAGTCATTGTATCGACCATTGAAAATATTCGAAATCTAAATTTTGACCTTAGTCTATTCTCAGTTTATGGCCTTGGAGTTAGGGTTCTAAGAAAATGTTGGTTTACCGATAAACACTTTTTGTGCTACTTTACTAACCGACTAGATTTTAAATTTTTCGCCGAAGCAATAATTTTTTCAAAACCTCTACAAAAGAAAAAAAATGGGCTTCATCACTACATTCAGATGCATCGACACCATCTAATTCATTTAATAAATTATTAAAAGTTGCTTTTCTCAAAATACTGATTGATTAATCTCGGGTACTCGAAAAAAAAAAACATGACAGAGGCATCCACAACTGTGTCACGAAAACTTATTTTACTGAATATAGATTATGAGAGCCAATAACAACTCCATTTTATGATAAATGAGAAGTATTAAGCCTTTCAACTTTCCTTACATATGTTTTTATTTATATTCAGCTCCCACCTGCATATATTGTGAATATATGTCTCCTAATATATTTGCTCCTAAGAGGCATGGTTTGGTTACGAATACTAAGTAGTTTTTTTTTATCAAAGCAGGCTACTACAAAATAAGTCGACGGTACAAGGATCTCGACTACTTCATGAGAGGCTTTGTAAGTTATAGGAATATAATGAATTGTTGGTATATATACACTATCAAACTGTCTTTTTGACAGATAAACGTATTTCCTAGCTTTTTTTAAAGTTATTCTTTTTGTACCGAATTCAATTGCAAAATATTCGTCTATGTAATTAGAAGGAATGACTAATGGCGGTTGTGACTAGACAGCAGGGGATTTTTCTTTTCCTTAGCACCTGACACACCTCTAAAATTAACAAGTGTTCGTGATTTATGCATTGTTCAAAGATTTGCATTGTTTAATATTTTTTTTAAGAACGACCACATGTCGTTTCATGCTTTTAATGCATCACATTCACGTAAAATTTCGTTGAAGTGTAATTTTGTGAATATTCAATACCCTTTGGCAACTTAATATACGCTTAGCAACGTCAACAAGTGATTATGAATTTATCAGGAATACCTTTTGCTTATACATGTAAAGTTTCATAGCATTTTTTAAATTTTTTACAGCATTAACTTTTAATGGCAAATTGTTATATAACTTCGCCTATAGTAAATATTTCCTGTTAGCCAAAAACATAAAACACATTCTTTTTAACAGTTATATCTTTATTCATTTGGAATACAATATATTCTCATTTTTCACAATTCCCAACCAGAAAACGAGGAATAGGAACTCTGTATGTAGGATGTTGAGTCTGAATAAATCGAAACTTTATCAGATGTCTTAAGGCTGAGGATCGCAAAGTTGGAGCAGGAATCGGTATACGAAGTGGTTCCTGTGTAGCATTTACTACGGACTTTTGATGACCCATTAACACGGACACTGGTATAGGCGTAGTTGGAGGAATAGGGTCGAATTGTCCACGAGAATGCATAAAGTCCTGCATGGGGTGCTTGGAAGTAGTAATAACTCTTAAATGCTGAACCCTGGTTGGTGACAACATTTCCAAATTTGACAGTGGATCCGGAGGAGTATGATGTACTACTGGATGTGTAAGCAGAAAATGCTACCCTTGCACCACCTGTTTAATTATAAATTAATTACATATATATGTTTTAACAAATTTAAAAAATCCAAAAGATAAAAATAAAATATTTATAGAATAACAGGTTGTGCATCTCTTTTTCATTTTAAAATCGTACTTACTTTACATTAAATTTATATTCAAATATGATAAAAAGTTAAAATAAGGGGAAAACAGTTATAGTCACATACCTCTGTAGCCATACCCATAATTGTATTTTCCTGCCAATTTTAATCCATATTCTAAAGCATCTGCTTGGTGTGCCAAATGGGTCATCAAATTATATCCCTTTACAGCTAGCCATTCTTGAGGAATTGCCAGGAATAGAAGACAAAGATAGCAGCACAATGTTCTCATTTTCTATTAAATAAAAATACAGCTTAGTCAATTGAGAATTCAATTTTATTTTGTTTTTTATGACAAAAATTTTATGAAATGAACTCTAATAAAGCATCAAAAATATAATACCTTATAATACACAAGTACAACGAAGTTTTGAAAGCAATGCTCACAGAACAATTTGTGTGTATCAAGTTAGGCATACATATTTTCATATTTATACATTTTGTTGAAATTTGATATATAGTACTCCAACGCAAATGTGATTTTAATTACTGTATGTAACGAGATGTCGAAAATTTTGAGCTTCTCAGAATCGAATCATAAGAACATTTGATATATTTTGTAAATATCCAATAAGATATTATCTAGTATCAAATTAATTTATCTTTTGCATGCAGCAAATAATTGATTCTGATTGTGAATAAACATGTAACAAATGTGAAACGTATGTACATGTGTAATTATTTTTGTTTACCTGCAGAGACATGAAGATTTTTATGTTTTATATCATCTGCATTTTTAACTGGGCTTACGTATATTCAGACGGTAAGTTTAATTGTTATGAATTAAGACATGTTAAACCCATATCATATTCAAAGGAAATATATTTAAAGTTGCCTTTGTTGGTAAAAAGAAACCTAGAATTTTATGAGAAATGTACAATTGTGTAACCTGTATTGTTAAATAAATGTTAATTTGGGGGAAAAAATGGGAATATAACTAAAGGCGAGCGATTTATCTTAAAGGGGGAGGAAATAAGCACCTCCTTCGCATTTACCTGGTCTTAGAACCTCTGTCAATCATCTGAAATTAAGCCTGGGATTGGATACTTTGATATGATTGACATTTAGCTTGCTGCTGTTGTGTATATCTTGTGTACCTTGTCTGGAGATCGTACCGACCATCGAATTAACTTTCAGGCTTTTGATGCCTACCGCATTGTATGCCAACGTGATAAAGAAGCAATCAAATCGTTCTTTTCTTTTTTTAATTCATAAGAATATGCCATAAATATAATCAATCTATCATATTAATAAATAAATGACAAGAAAATCTATGGCTATATAATATATTATAAATTTGATTTTAAAAGGGAGGATTTCATATCATGATTGCTATTTTAATTTCCGTGTCAAAACATGAGTTAACGTACATTGATTCCTCCATTAATTAACAAAATAAACCGACCTGCGTTTGAAGCTAGTGTCATGGAATTAGATAAAATTATTTTTTAAAACATGTATGACAACATTGTAACATTGTTCATGAGTCAAGCGAATTTATATTTATAAGACAATCCTGGTACGTGTCGCTTTTCTTCGAGACATGATGACGAAGTAACCTGTTACGGTATAATAATAAGTTTTAGAAGAGAAATTACTCGGAATATAACATCTTGCTTTGTATTTTTATTAAAATGTTTGAAATTAATAATGAATCCCGAAAGAAAAAAAAACGATGCAGATGATTCTTTTCCCGTTTCATAGGGGGAATCAACAGGTAACATCCTGTGTATATAGGTAGTATACACAAGCCCGCGTCGTTCCCTCGGGGCTTCTCAGCCGCTCCGATTAAGCTCCACCCCACACCAAACTTACCTGAGGAAAACCGTACGGTTGAAAACCTCGGCCTTTAAAAAATATGTGAACAGAGCATAAGTCTCACTTCCAGATATTCCAATGTGGGATCATGTGCCTAGGCGTAGTATTTATCCCCTGTAGGCCACATCCGCCGTAGCTATATATAGACAATATGTATTTATCAGGTAAACGAAATACATGTATTCCAAAGACAATCTAAATAGAAAGACAAAGGCCTAAGATTGATTTGAAGTACAAAATACAACCCAATTATAGTTAAATTAATTAGTTTCTTATACTTGCACTTCACTTTTAAAGATAAAATTCTTCAAAATCACATTACATTTTAATACTTTTACAAATCTGCTCAAGGAAGTAATTCTATTCACCCTTGTAGTACAATATTCTAAAACTTCATAAAAGTCATTACAAATCTCCAAAGCTATATCCAGCAAGTTCTCTATACCAAACCCGTGTCTTTCCTCTTCACAATGTATATATTGCTGCAAAACACAAACCTTACTAGTACTTACTAGCTTCAGCATATTCAATATGTGTAAATGAAAAAAAAAAATTCCCGAGAAGTCACTTATGTTACAAAATATTTAAATACAAATAACTTTAGACTCCATCGTTTGGTATATTAATGCATTTTCTATTATTCCATTGACTTGCAAAATAATTAAAAATGAGAGAAAAGATGTAAATGTCCTATCCACATTACTTGTATGAGAAAATATTGCTTAACCCATCAAAGATTTATCCCTGAAAATGACCTGACACATTGTATTTTAATGCACTTCCACTCTGGTGATAAATATTAGTTGTATTTCCTTATCAGTTAAGTAAATAATATTTACCTCAAAGAATTTAGTAGTGTTAATATTTGCCAATGATTGGTATCACGAATGAGAGTAAATTCTTTTTGAAAAATCCAATTATTACATTTCGAATTACATTAAATAAACTCCAGTAAAAAAACCTTGACAATAATTTAATTGCATCAATTTTTGTAGCTGGTTTTAATCAGACGTATCACATGCTTGTAACCAACAAAAATGCAACGGAATTTGAAGTGAAATTGAATGCAACAAACAGGAATGAAACATACAGCGTACACAGATTCAAAGTAACGATACAGGCGATGAACAAAACAAACTCTAATTCATCAATTCTCCAAACTACCGAAAATCCAATTTTCTCAGATGTAAAAAATTTAACAACTTTAGAACCGAAGCAAACTTCTGACCGCAATAAAACTAATGTCAAATGTAAGAGGAATACAGTCAAACCAGACCCAAGCAATTGCTCCAGGTATATTATCTGCGTGAACGGAGTACGTTTAACGATGCTTTGTGCATATGGAACACTTTGGGAAGAAGCTTCCGGAAAATGCCTTCATGCTGATGAGGTTAATTGTAAGAATAGGAAAAATCCTTTTCACCATTTTCAGAACAAAGGTAAGAAAATTAAATATTTGGTTTTTAAAGCTCTTCTGATTGAATACAAAACAATATTTAATGTACATTTGTTTGTTTTAGATGGTCAGACAAATTTCCGATGTCCAAAATTAAATGGATTGTTTGCAAATCCTAAAACATGCAGAAAGTTCTACCAGTGTGTTTGGGGAAAACCAGTTATCAAATACTGTCCAAAGTCAACAACGTGGGATGCGAAACTAAAGATCTGCAATAAGCGAAAAACTAAGTGCAACTAAATTAACTTTAGTATTTTGAGCCTCTATTTTGTATTAGAGCTTATGAAATATAAAAGTTGGTTGCTTTTACATTTTCTGACTTTCTTTTTTATGGACAGAGAAACAGAATTTTTTAAGATAGGATAACACTCTCACGAAACGAGATGTTTACTCCTCCATGCCATCTGATCCCGCTTCTGATGTTTTTTTTTGATGTCCGTGGTTTCTTGACTCCCGATTTGTATAGTTAAAATGGGCTTTCTGTTTGAATACTAGTCGTAATCTCCACAGTATACAGTTATAAACAATATATATTTTAAAACTTGTATTACTGTTCCTAATATTCGCTTTCCCTGCTTAATATACAAAACTGTTATTTTTTGTCTAAATCTAATAGAAAGAGTGTAAACTTTAAATGTTTAGGTGTTCAGAGGGTGAATATGCTAAAACCTACACATTCTATGTATTTTATAAACAAAAATGAGAAAATTTATTTAAAAAACGTTTAAAATGCCTTTATTTGACAATAGTACTTTTCATTCATGACCGTCGAAAGGAATTGCTTACATGAACTCCTTTTGGGCAGTTGATGCAATACATCTCTGAAATTGCCAGGAGTCAAATGTAACTCTCTGTTCACATACTCGAATTGTTTAAATAAGGACTATTTAAACTTGATGGACCCCTTTGATATCAAAATAAAAGAAACCAAAGAATATGAATCGAAGACAGATTCTCCCATTATTTCTTGATCATGACAAGGAGCACATGTCGGGTGCTTGTGAGCTGTAGGCAAGAGATGCTCATTTCTCCATGGTAACTGATCCCAATTCGTGTTTAATTTCCGTGTTTGCTCTGTTCCACTTTTGTTTTTAGGACTTTTGAGCCTGAATACTGTTCGTTATCTCAATAGATTTCATACATGTCTTTCACATTTTAATATTTCACTACAGAAAGACATTAATGGTGTACTACATTATAACAAGAAAAATTAATGGATAACTCGATGGCCAATATTTTTATTGAAAATGTCTTTTACAATGAACTTATATTGTAATTTATAACCTGCTCAAAGGGTTTATGTTTCTCAGTTGATTCGAAAAGCAAGAGCTTACTCTACATATGAAAGATTGCTGAAATGAAGGCAACCTTTTGTCAAATAAGTTGATGACCTATGCCTATATTCTGCATGGAACAAAAAATACGTCCAAACTTATCAATACTTTATCCTTATAATTATTTTCTTTTTTTGTAATTTTGTGTGTTGGTTTGAATAAAATAGTTGCACACGCTTTTGGCTATGTAAATACTCTAGTTACTTAAAAAAATCATTACACATGTATAATAAACTATCTTTAAGAACAGTACATTAACCTGTGGGGAAAAACTGGAGATGAAAAAAAAAATTTGAATAAGAATACTTTAGCTGCAGATCTGTAACTCCCTCGTCTGAAAAAAAAATAGATGGACATCCGGAGAGCTACATGCAGTGCCACATAATGAAGAAGTGAATATTTACGTCTTACAATATACGCCGTTTTTCATTTATTTCTAAGTATATATATAAAAATATAACTGACAGTGCATTCCTAGCATATCATTTAAATACATCCAAAAAAAAATCTTTGTAAAAGTCTTGTAGGAAGCGCCTTGAACCTATTTGTCTTACCATCGACGAGGACAGTATAAAAAAGCGAAATTTTATTTTTTTTAAAGTTTAGGCCCAGGACTGAGGAAGGCTATTTAGAACGGTTGTGGGATACCAAAAATTACTTATTTTCGTGGGAGTTTGATATTCGTGATTTATGAGGTATGAAGAGACCCATGGATTGATTTCCACCATAAAATGTAATTTTTTAAAGATATTATTTCTCATCAATTCTTCATCCAGGAAGTTA